AAATTTTGGTGTTTGATGGCTTGGGGATTGGGGGATGGGAGATTTGAGAAGTTGAAGACTTGGACACTTCAGAAGATTTAAGTATAGGAAATTTGGGAAATAGGATTATGTGGGTTTAGAAATTTGGAAGTGGGTAAATTTGAAAATTAAGGATTCGCAGATGTGGAAATTTAAGATTTTGAAATTTGGGTATTGGGGAATTTGGGGATTTAGAAATTTGGGTGGTTGGAAATTTGGGGACTTAGGGATTCGGGGATTTAGAAATTTGGGTGATTGAAAATTTGAAGACGTAAGGAATTGGGGATTTAGCAACTTAGGTGATTGGAAATTTAGATGTTTAGGAATTTTGAAATTTAAACGATTGGAAATTTGACAACTATGAAATTTAAAAATTTAGGAATTTAAAGATTTTAAAGCTTGGAAATTAAAAAGTTTGTAATTTTAAAAATTGTCAAACTTCTAAAAGATGTCTGACCCTCTTACTCCCTGCTTAGTTACGCTAATGGTTTCAAAACGACATACAATAGCCGGAAGCGACTAATCAATCATATTTTTAATTCCTCCTGCAAAGCAAGAAATTGTTATCTATCAGTGAACGTTGAAAAGAAAGATAAAGAAGTCATGAATTTTGGAGAAACATGACTGACAACTTGTAATAGATTAGAAAGATTTGCGTCTTCCAACGGAAATATTACTTGCTTCAATTACGGCTGAATGATAGATATCGATATAGAAACGCTTTCCATTGTTCGTGGAAGAACAGAAAGCCGCTTCCGGGCAGACTGCCCGATAGATTATATGATTACAAGTTATATTCGAAAATGGAGTTATTCTTACGTGATATGCCAAAACATGCAATGAAACTGCATTAGAGTAGATCGGGATGAGGATGAATATTCAGCGTGTACCCAATTCTCACAATTGCTGAATATTCACTAATTTTCATATTTCTAAATCCCCAAATTTCCAATCATCCAAATTTCCAATCACCCAAATTTTTAAATCACCAAATTTCCAATCATCCAAATTTCCAATCACCCAAATTTCTAAATTACCAAATTTCCAATCATCCAAATTTCCAATCACCCAAATTTCCAAATCCCCAAATTTCCAATCACCCAAATTTCTAAATCACCTAAATTTCCAATCACCCAAATTTCCAAATCCCCAAATTTCCAATCACCCAAATCCCAAATTCTCCAAATCCTCAAATCCCCAAATTTCCAATCACCCAAATTTTGACGACCCGCAGCCCCCAAACCGCCAAACTTCCCGCCATTTCATGGCATCGCAGAATAAAATGCGTGGACGTAACATGATCTAGCTCCGCGCGATTATTGACTTTGCTCAGTCAACAGCGAAAGAAAGCAAAGTAAAGACGAAGAATATAAAACCGATTTGAAAACGAACTTCCCTACCAAATTTTATTATACTTCGAAAGCTCTCTCCGCGTAATACGGAGAATAAACGAGTGATATTTGACTGAGGGAACTGCTTTCCTCATAAAAAAATAATCCTCTCGTAGGTCGGGAACCATTGTATGTAACTCTTTCGGTATATCACAAGGAACGTTTGTCGTTACGTTAATTTGTTCGCTTGTCGCAAACATTCGTTTCAGGCGGAATTTACAACGGAAAATGAGAATAGTTTTCAAGGAGCGGATGGAAGTCTATTTCCGTGACATTGTATAAAGGGAACGCGGAGGAGAAAAAAACTTAATTTAGTTCAACCTGCTCGTTCCCGATACTTGTACCGTGTATGCGTGTGCGTCGACATGCGAGTAATCGTTCTACCTTCCCATTCCCCGTGGATAGACGTCCTTTTTTTTTAGAAAATCCATGTTAGCTGCTCGAATCGTTTTTTAATCTACGTTATATCGGGACAGTGTCTTTGAAGAAAAAAATAGGTGATGGACGCAAACAATTTATTAAACAGGCGAGACAAACGCCTCTGCCGATATCTGTTCTATAAATATTCATTTATATATATTTATTCACTCGGTTGTTCATTTATTTATATTCTTATTCATTCATTAAATTCACATACATATTTATTTGTACGTTTATTTATTTATATATCCATTCAGACATTCGTTTATTCACTCCTTCATTTATAAGTATCGGAAAATTACGTAACAAAGATAAAAAAATGCATTGCATATTGCTTTTATTTTCCCATTCTTATCAGTGAAAAATGTAACTTGATTAACGGCGCAAGTTTTCCGTAATCGATTGTCATTACGCGTAACTGATATAAACTATGTTGTAACTGCAAGATAAGTTATGAAAGGTACTTATGAAATACGCATCAGTAAACTCGAAGCTGCTGGCCTAAATATTATGGGAGGATAATGTATGACTTTCTCGAAATATGGATGCCGTAAAGTTTCAAAGGGGTACAGAGAGCTGGTCACATAATCCCTTGGCGACAAACTTGTCGCATTATCCGTTACATCCCGTTCGGCAACTAGGCGTTAGTTCCTAGCAGAGGGACGTTAGATCTAAGAGGGTTGACAACACGCACGAGCCATCTGAGAGACCTCGTAACAAATGCATTAGATAAAATTTGGTGTGAGAACTGTGTAAAGTCATCGGCTAGTACTAATCAGTTTAGTCATCGACTAATTACTGTCATTTAAGACGGTGATGGATAAAATAGTGGTCTTTGAAGAACTGGAGGACATTGGGGTGCACTGAGGCGATGAGACGTTGAGTGAATTTTTAGTTTTCCGAGGTGGGAGTTGGGGAATTTAGGGATTTGGGGATTTGTAAATTGGGGCATTTCAATATTAATTAATTTGAGAGTGTAGGAAGTGAGGGATGGATAAACTGTAAAATGTAGAAATTGGAGAATACAGAAATTGAAAAGTGTAAAAATTTCAAAACTTAGAAATCTCAAAACTTTGAGCCCTTAACTTTGCCTAAAAATTAAGAACCATAATATTTGAAAAGTGACACCCCAATCTTTCGACCCAACATCTCAATCCTTAATCCATCAGTTCAAGTAGAAAGCAGTTAGCACTCGTATGATTGATACAGAAACACAAGCGTTTACAAATGTTTTACCATCGCTTAATTTGTGCTTTTACTTTCAAATTGCATCCGACTTCTGTTTCCACGTTGCAGCAATGAGAAGCCAGATACATCATGTCCTATCGGAGGAAACCATCAATGGCGTAACCAGGAAGCCGTCCAAAGTTCTCTAACGATGATGTATCGAGGTTGCAGGAGACCCTTAACTTGCGGCCATTTCGATACACCGTAAGTTACCGTTTCTTCCACTCTTTCTTTCCCTCACCCTTTCTTTCGCCACCCTTACCAGAAGAAGCATTACGTCCCTTGGTATCCTCCAACTTACCACCGATGATGACCGTGACAGATAGCCTGTCATAACTCGTCGTTGCGAAAAAACATATCGTGGGTCTGACGTTTGTTAAAAAAGTAACGCATTCTGGTTCCACGATCAAAGGGTGGACGTGAATTATGTCGGTCAATATGTGCAACGTCATCCGTTTCCTGTCAATGTGCTACAAAGCGTTCGATCTAAATTATTTTACAGATTAATCGAAATAAAATGTGTTCTACAAAATGGGAGTACACGAACGCGTGTAATGAGGTATTCAGTTGCTTATCAACCGCATTAGTTAAGGTCGATTCGAAATGATATTTTCAGAGGGAAATGATGGCTTACGTTCAGGGAAGTGTCACATCAAGCGGCAGTGATTTTTTAAAACTAAACGATGCTAGGGGTCAACAGGAGCTGTCAAGCTAGCTTTAGTTTCCATAGACGGGGCGAGTTTTTTTCCGCGGGAAGAAGAGCACTTTCCTACGGTGATTCGCAAACGCTTTTTACCTTTCTGCCCTTTTATGCTGTCGCTCTTACTCTAGGACGACATTGACGACGCATTAAAATTTATCTGCACCTTTATTGCCCGTCGTCTCGTGCAATTTCCCAGACGTTTATTTCCGCTTAAATTCAGCCGGCGACCAGAAATAATTAATCTATTAGAAACGATATAAAATCGTGGCTGATAATCTTAAAGCGGTAACCCGATTTTGAGGAAATTAGAATTAATTAGTAATAATCTTCCCGGCAAACCGAAAAGCGTTCTAACTAATTCATATTACTGCCGGATGTGGATCGTTATCTTCCATTTCAGTTATGTGCTGTAATTAAATTTATGAATGTTGACTGTTTGGGATAGTGTCCCGTCCTGGCAACAGGAAAATGCACTTACTCCTTTGAAATATAAGAGAGATTTATATTTTTATTTTGTTCATTGTGAACGAAATATTGCTACTATGTACTATGATTGTGTCTTAAAATACTGCTTGCAACAACAAACAATTTCTTTGAGAAACTATGAAATATTTGATAATATAATTCATTTAATCAGTAAATAAATTTTATCAATGTTCACCGAAATTATTATTTATATAGTTTTGATATTTATCAAGTTTCAAAAGTATATATGTATGTTCAATTCATATATTTATAGTATTTTATCGTTCAATGAAAAATATAATTTCAAACGATTAGAATTATAATGTATTCAAAAATTAGCGCGCAAAGTTTGCAAAGCAATTTGAACCTGAACCGCGCATGCGCAGACCGTTATTTTTAATCGTTTGAAAAGTGGTCGGTGTTGCGTTCGTTGCGGAGTTAAAGTAAATTTTTAATGATTAAGCGAGTAATTTGTGTAATTAAAGTGTGGTGTAAGTGAAATAATACTAGTGCACAACGAGAGGACATAATTGGATAAAATCTTCACGATAAAATGGAGCTTCAGCAAATGCGATTCAAATGACACTCTCCTGGCAATCATCATTTTACCGCCAAGTAAGTGAAATTGTTTAATATAGTAATTTTAACACATTTTTAATGACTTAAATTCGAAATACATTATATTTACCATTTGAAATACAAACTAAATTCAAAATCAGTTAATAAATATAATATAATGTTTATTTAATTTTGTTAATTACATTGGTTATATCCGCCTGAAAATTGGTAATAAAATATTTTGATAAAACAAACATTTTCAATTTATCATTAAAAATAAAGCAATACATCTTTTATTTGTAGTCCCCTTATAGGTGGGTCAACCATTTAACAATAATTAATAGATATCATATTAGTTTAATAATTTTAAAGGCAAAATAAATACAAGATGAACAAATAAAATCACTAAATGAAATACTTTGATAAGATTATTTCCATATAAATGTTCACTACTTTACTTTCTTCGATGTTCTCACAACGCATGCATAATTGTGCATACATTTTGAGAAGTTATATAAACTTTACTTCTACTTTGGATGCTGCATAATATTTAAAATTAACTTACTTATGCTATATTTCAACACTCTACAATTGGAATGTTCTGTTAAATAATCATGGCATTTTAAATTACACTTTTAAAAAGTGGCAGTACGTAATAAGTTATCACTCAGAAAGAAATTGTTAGATACTTTAAAAATTCAATATATATATATAAATATTATTTGTTAAAAGCAATGTAAAAGCAATTGTATTTCTGTGGCTGATTAGCATACTAATTTGTGAATGTACACTTAATGTCAACAGCAACATTCCTACTTAAATACATATAAAGTAATCGGCTCCTACAGTTTAGAACTATTATTGTACAGAATTGTTAACTGATATGTGCAAAGAATCCATAGAATATCTTCTTTCCTGTTGTGTTGTTTTTAACCATTGTTTGTGTTCGCACAAATACGGGTATAACGGTACTACTAAAACACTGATATCATCAACCGATGCCACAGGTGAAAATTTTTCATCTGTTTCTTCCAAATTTTCTGATTTACCAACCCAAACTCTTCCAACTAACCTACCTCTTGCTGCTTGTACCAATTCTTGAGCACTCATTGTGAGTCTGTAATAAGAATTTATTTGTAATCCTGATTTTTGAAGCATCAGTTGTAATTTCTTAAAAAAGTACCTGTATTCTAATGATGGAGTATCAGGGGCAAGTGTTTTCCTTAGTATGTTTGCTGCTGTTTTATCTGACACAACATCCCAAAGTCCATCCGTGGCTACAATGATACAGTCACGTTCAGTAAGATTACAAGTATCTAAATTTATGGACTGTACTTCCGGTTGTGACGATAGAAATGGTTTTATGTTAACCCCGGTACTGGCGGCTTTTAATCCATGGTCTCCAAAACCGCGAGTTACTCCTATAGTACCCATTACTCGACTCTGTATAATAAAATCATAATAAGGTTTTATTAAAAATGTAGTGACTGCTACACCAGTCTCAAAGATAATAATTACCCTTTTTCCATGTCCTGAAATGAGAGGTAATTTCAAATCGGAATTAGTTAGTACTTTATATGCCCAGCCTGTCATATAAGGTTCTCTGTACAAAACCAACGATCCTAATTCCTTTTGCAGTGGTCTTTTACGATACTCTAGTGGAGTAAAGTGACCTTTCAATAGTTCAGTACTTCTTAGATAACCTAATGCTCTGACACGATTTGATTCTGAATCGGGTGTGTGATCTCTTGTCAATGCACGTTGATTTTCTCCTAATACTAGTACAGCTCTGTTCATCACATAATTACCATTAATTATTCTGACTTCTATTGATTAGGTAGAAATTTATGCATTAGACTATTCACCTTGAATCCCCAGCACCTGCGGCATATAATCTACCATTCAGAAATAAGATAGTAATTGCTGTGCAACCACCTCCACCACCTTGAGCTTGAGCTTCTACCATCTGATCCATTTGTCTATATGCTAATTCAATAGCACCAATAACAAGATCTCTTCCTTTTATAAGTTCATCTTCATCTTCATTTAATAACATATTTCCAGGTATTGCCATTAATCTTCCCTAGAAAAGTAATAAGTATAATATATGAGGTGTGAAATGTATGTAAAGTAGCATACTAAATTTTTTATTAGCCTTACAAGAATTATCCTATGCAAATGTAATCTTGCTGTTAAAGCCACTTGATATCCGGCATGTCCATCAAACATAGAGAACATAACATAAGGTAGTGTGACATTAACATCTGTTAGCTTAAGGTCTCCTCTTGTCGCAGAGGTTTGATCTTCATTCCAAGCACTTTTACCAGCATTGATACATTCTGCATAACCAGCACACCATGGCAAACGACTCAAATCCCTTGGTACTATAATTGGTCTTACTCTATGATCAGCACTTACCTATGAATCACATAAATAATAACTATGCTTTAATTGCTTATTAAATCACAATAAAACCATCACAGTGACAGTGATAGTTCCAAGCACGTACTTGAGTTTCTTCCGCAGTTAATCCTAGAAAGCTAGGTCGACTATATGGTTTATTTTCTATTTCTGCAATAATGTTTGAATTAAGGTAATCTGTTACTGCTTCACTATCTGAATCATTAGGATATTGTATGCCAAGTTCACTTCCACCAACTGCATTTAATATTGCTGATTTAAATCTGTTCAGCATCTTTTGTTCAGTATTTCTAAGATATGTACTTTATAATTGGTTTAATAAAATGTATCATAACATCTATCTTTGAAGACAGATATTAGATCTGATGATAGTGCTTAATTAAACTTTATTGTATACTAATATGTAAACATGTACATGCATGTACAACACTAACAATAAAAAGGAACTACCAAAGTTTTAATGGCTGTTTGGTTATCTGTCATCTGTCAGTTATGAATCACAAACTTTTCACGTTAGAAACAATAGTTTTACAATTCAAACACTATGATTAAAAACGGAATCATTACATTCTAGATTATTCATAGATTTGTATTTCGTTCAACGGATATCATTTTGTTGACAAAGTAATTGTCAACAATAAGATAGGTTATATCTTGTACACGAGTATCAAGTCGCTGTTTCATATAGCGACACCATTTGTCGATATTTAATCAACCGCTCTAATCTCTCCCTTATCTACGTGTTTATCTTCCTAATTATGATAAAGTACATTAATATAAAAAAATTGTGCTTTATTTATTAATTCAACATAAGATTTCTTTAATCATAATTGATTAAATTAAATTGTATTAAAAATTTTTAAGGTATCTGATGTTTAATATAATATATTAATACTGATCATTATTTTAAATTGATTGGAATTTGGAATCATTAACAAAATAGTTAATAGTATTTACATGGAATTGCAGAATAACTCTCTGCTAATAATGATTACTTTGCAATATAATCTTTTGGGTTTCAAAAATAGTATTGCTAGTGTCATCTAACGTTGAAAATGAAGTCTTTCTTCTTTATCGGTGCTTGTATTTGTATGTAGTTAAAGCAATTGCCACGGAGCTGCAGATTGTTTGTGTTGTTTGATATTTTCTGGAATTTCAATTACAACATTTGTATGATGTAGTGAAGATTAGTTGAAGTTGAGTATCATTTGTACCATAGTTGTATAAACTTATCTTCATAATATTTTTGAAGGAGATATGGCAAAAATCAGAAAGAATACACATAAAAGTGAGGTAATTAACCTCTGTATACTTTTTATTTATTATAGTTTAGATAAATAAAATATTACTGTATCAATTTTTATGTGATGATGACATTGGATTGTAGGAAATTAGTAGTTCTTCTGGTTCATCTTCTTCTATATCCTCAGATGAAGAAGTAGATGCAAGGGATTTAAAACCAATTAAAGAATATTTATCAGATCGTAAGGAATTAGCTCGACAGCTATTTAAATCTGTTAGAGCTGAGAAAATACAAATGATGCTACCTCAAGTATTGAGGGTAAGCTTAATAAAATATATTAGATATTAGCTATGTTTGTATGAAGGTAGATTCAATACATTTATTAGGTCTATTTGAATGCATTTTAGAAAATGGATTTAGGGCAATTAGAAAAGTGGTGTGCTAATGAATTAAGTGGTATGTCAAAGAAACGTATATTATCTATTTTGAATGGAAAACCTATGGTAGAGTCATCAGAAACTAGCGAGTCAGATGATTCAGGTATGAGATAATGTAGCATTTATTGATATTTATAACATTGACATAGGTACTTTATATTTGTATTCATAAAAATAGGACCTTCTTTGGAAATAATCTCAGATACAGAAGAGTGGTTTACCGATGAAGATGTACATATAAAGGAAGAGGGTTCCCAAAAAGGGAAAGTAAAGAAAGATAAAGTAAAACAAAAAGTAAAAACTCAACTTCATAAAAAGAATGATAGTAAACCCAATCATAAGAAAGCTTCTAATAATATTTCTAAAAATATGATAACACCAAAAGAGGAACAAGTAAAAACAAATAAAGAAAAAGAAGGTGATAGTTTGCTAGACTTGTTAGAATTAGAAATGCGTGCAAGGGCAATTAGAGCACTAATAAGAAAAGAGGAAGATATAATACCAAATACATCCAAATCTACTGAAACTAATAATACCTTAAATAATGATGCAATTGCTAAAGCGAAACAGGATGAAATGAAGGAGAAGGAAAATTGTAGAAGGCAGTTAGAAAAAATTATCAGTGCCCAACAAAATAGCACTGGTGAAGATGAGGATGTTGTCTTGGTTGTTCAACCAACTCCAACTATCGAGTTACTATCTAGTGATAGTGAAAATGAAGCTCACAGTGGAGTTCGTGTGAACAAAAAGTTAGAAAATGAACGTGTAATGGAGGACAAGGACAGTGTGCAAAATGTAAAAGAAAATAAAGAAGCAACAAGTATATCAGAAGTACACAAAGAACCAGAGGCACACAAAACTGAAGTTGCTAAACGACCTCACAGTACTAATGCATCTCAGACCGATAGTCAATCAAAATCTAGTGGAAAGAGAAGAAAAACAAAGAAAAAGGTACATGCAAAAGAGCAGATGAAAGATACAACTTCTGAAACTGATGCACACACTGCAAAGACATCTAATGACAGTCAAAGCACTGAGTGTGTAAAGAATGGTGAATCATCAGAAAATGCAAAATCAAATGAGAAGAAAGATGAAAATAATATTACATTGAAAGTGGCATCTGATAAGCAAAATTCTACAGAAGCGTCAGGTGCAGTTAGAGTAAATTTAGACGAAGAAAAATCCATTGACTTAGATGAAATAATCGATTTAGATGATTACTGTGATGACATGGAGGAGATGGAGAACAGCGGGAACAAAAATGAAAATGCGGAAATGATAGTTAAGCAGATTAAATGTGAAACTGAAAAAGGCTCTGCACCAAAATCAAACGGAACCGAAACTTGGGCGAGTCGTTATTATCAGACGGACGATGTTCAGAATGTGATAAAAGAATCGAAGATACAGTCAGAAATTCGTAAACGTTTGAGAGAGCGTCAAAGACTGTCAAAAGCTAGTACACCTCCAAATAAGAAGTCGCAAACTTCTTCATTGGTTGCTGAAGGTGCAACTATTAAAGTTGCAGAAACAAATCCCTTAGGTTCGGTAGACGAATATTTAGCCCTAAAGAATACTGATACGTGCCTTAGTAACAACGGTAGCGATAGTTCTGGTGTTGTAAAAAACAATGAGATCAACAGTAGCATAGATCCAAATAAAATAATTGAGAATGACAATGCAAATGTGCATCTTAAAAGTCAAAACGTTGAAACAATTAATTTAAGTCCTAGTGTAAATAATTCCTCGGTTATAAATAATGAAACCGTAACTACTGTTACAAATCCTGGTTGATAAAATTTGTACATAACAAATGCATCTATTTGCATCTATAATTGTATATACATGATTATCATTACAGTAAATATTGTTCTCTATCGTTTTTTTATGTGAAGTAGTTTTTCATGGAATTATTGTTTTGCAAAATTGTACATATTTACGTTTATTTATAATAAAACCTATTCGGATGCTGTATCAAACTTGCATTCATTTTTACAGCTAAACTCTGTTTTTTGTAACCAAAGATCATTGAATAAAAACATGACGAAATTTATATCTCCGTTTATTCTTTTGGAGCAGTATGGAATTCAATATTTATGATCGAACAGCTTTTTACTCGCAAAAAAAGTGCTACGTATATGGAAGTGAGTGCATAATTCACATATTCAAGGATTCTACGATCTGACCATTCCCTTCTCCACTTTCGTTTCTCGATTTTTATCGTTCATTCCTGGGGGGAAAGTTTCCGCTGCTCTACATCTCATTTATTTTTAAATTTAATGAGACTTCCTAAAATCCACCTAATTGAACGTAGGACTCCACCAAATAGGATGGACATTGCGTAATGGCTTCTAAAATTCTGTGAGGCCAATGAAAATAATTTATGGGAAGTTTTTGACTGGAAATTTTATAGTTTTAAGATGTCATAGATGCTGTTGCTTTCAAATAAATTTTTAAGGTTATACGCTCCGAATACATGGAGTTTGATATACTTCATGTGGATGAAGAAACACATGGAGTTTGATATGCTTCATGTGGATGGAGAAACACATGAAGTTTGAAATGCCACAAATTCTGAAAGATGACAGAAAGAAGACAATCTAAGAATGTAAATCAAGGACTCTTCAAGTAATACCAAAAATTAGAAACCATTAAAATTCGAAGTGCCTTAAGCTGAATGTTTCAAGGTCGTAAGATCTCAAAGCGCTTTAAGTTCATGATGTCTCAAATTCGAAACCCTTCGAGTTCGTGACGCTCAAGAATTTCCCAAGTACATATGTATACACATGTTTGCAAAATTTACAATGATTCTCTCACAACCTGCAATTTCTCTAGACTGATAAATGGCGTTCCAGAAAACGCAGCGAACGCACCTTACGTCAGACCTGGTTTCAACATCCGAGCATTGAATGTCGTCCAAAAATGCATATTCGCTTCTTTCACGAGGAATTTCTATAATTGGCAACAGAATTTCGCATTCGACTCGCGGCGAACGGCGTCAGTTCTAATTCAAATGTTACGGATACGGAAGCAACGGCGCGCGTGCACTTGTAACGCATAAACGATCTCCCGACCTAGGAAATGCAGAAATTGTCGTTCGCATAATCTCATCGATCGTGTGCGAGCGGCGGCATTATGCGAACACGCACACAGGTGGACAGATTTTTCAGAACCGTATTGGAACTTTCGATGGGTGGTTCCGGTACCGTGGAACTTGGAAAGTTTCTCTGCAACGATGCAAATAAGAGATACAAAAGGGAGAGGGTGACCGGCAACTTTAGCAAGGGAACTCGATGGTGTTCTGCGCCATGCGAGACAGATTGTTGACAGGGCTCGAGCGGAATTTAAATTAGTATAATCCCGGCTCGTGTTACGCAACACCAGGAATTTCTAGGTGGTCCACTTCCGATGAAAGTTACATTTGCAATTCTCCGCGACACGGTACAACGGTTAATACGACAATAAATCCGGGAGATACTCGCGCACGTTTCTTCGCCGAGGATTTCGCGTAATAGGGAAGTAACGAGGTCATATAATTATACGCGTTTGTCTTACCCGCTGCGCGTTGTTTACACGGCTCTACTTAGACTCTGGAGATTAAATGCGCCGGGTAATATTATGCTTCTGATGGCTGATATTCTTGGTCAGAATTTGAACGGAACCTGTTATCGCAGGCTGAATTAGCGAATTCACCCTGTAATGAACTCATTTGTTCCAAAATCTTGTTCCTTAGGTAACAAGTAGTTAATTACGAGAACATGTACTTGATGTATATTCTTAAGGATCGAAAATGAGGGAGCTTGTCTCCCGAATTCGTCTCCGGGCGAAGAAATATTTTCTTGTGCTTTTTTAAAAATATTCGGTACACAGATTTCCTTTTAAAAATTTTATTTTTCAAACTCTGTTACAAGGGATAGTATATGAAGAGGTTTTATGAAAACTTCAAAATTTGTCTTAATATTTAACAGAACGAAAATTAGCTGATGGCTCTTGAATAAATAAAAAATTTCGTTCTGCGTAGAACAAAGCTTATATTTCATATTTTGGGCCAATATATCAAACCCACGTATTTACAGCGAAGCTTCCGAAAATGTGACAGTAAAATGAATGTACGAATATTTGTTTAATAATATAAATCAACAAGAATTGATGTACACAGGAAGTACGGAAATACGAGTAACAAAAATGAATGTGCTAATATTTGTTTAATATCGAGAATCAACAAACAAAAGTGATGTATTTGCACAGAAAGTTTCGGTAACAAAAATGAATGTACTAACATTTATTTAATATCATAAGTCAATATATAAAATCGATGCAATTGCACAGAAAAGCTTGCAGAAATTGTACACGTAAGTACAATAGACAGTCGAAGCGTCATTATTCATTTAAAAATAAAGGTGCAAAAAGGGAAACCATAGAGCACAGAGTAATTTCTGTCGATAATACAATAACAATGTTCCTTTCTGGCTAAAGCGAAAGGTAGCTATGTTATTAGACCATTTTCTCTCGCAAGTTGCTGTCAAGTTTGTTCGAAACGTATCTATTAACTTTTGCCGGGATTTCTCCAACAGCTCGTAATAAAACGAGCGTTTAAAAGTTTCGATAACAAAAACTGCTCGTACGTTTTTAGTAATCTAACATCAGATAACGAAGGAAAAAGGTTGCTGTAAAACAAGCAATGGAACGATGGAACGTTCTCACGGTAGTTGGATCTCTGGGGCAAAAAGGATCGGTGGAAAAAAAAGGAATTGCGTTACTGCACGCAAGTATTCTTCTTCGCTTACACGTCGCTGGAAAAACTGTACCATTTTCATGCGTCGCTGGAACCCCGTTAATTAAATTTCTAATTGGACGCGAAATCGAATATGTGCAGGAATACTTTTGAAAAATTGCCGGTATTGGGATATTTATTTGAAATGTTGACAATGAGGTGTAGAGATATTCCGCAATTTTTGGATTTGGAAAATTAGGAGTTTTGAGTTGAGGGTTTAGAGGGGTGGAAATTTGACAAGTTAGAAGGTTGAGAATTTAGAAACTTGGGGATTTAGGAATTTGGAGATTAAAGTATATAGGAATTTGGGAATATTTAAATTTGTAAATTTAGGAACTGCAGGAACTAATGATTTAGGAAGTTTAAATTTGGGAACTAGAAAGTTTGGGAGATGGAAATTAAGAGGTTTGAACACTTAGATATTAGCGAACTTCTAAATTTGAAATTTTCAAAAATTTCAAAACTGATAATTTTGGAAATTTGCAAGCTAGAAAATTCGTGACTTGGAAATTTGCAAGCTAGAAAATTCGTGACTTGGAAATTTGCGAGCTGGAAAATTCGTGACTTGGAAATTTGCAAGCTGGAAAATTCGTGACTTGGAATTTTGCAAGCTGGGAAAATCGTGACTTGGAAATTTGCAAGCTGGAAAATTCGTGACTTGGAAATTTGCAAGCTGGAAAATTCGTGACTTGAAAATTTGCAAGTTGGGAAATTCGTGACTTGGAAATTCGCAAGCTGAAAAATTCGTGAATTGGAAATTTGCAAATTAGAAAATTCGTGACTCCGTAAACTTGTAACTTGAGAAACTCATGCACTTGAAAATTTGAAAGTTGTAAAATTCGTGAACACAAAAATACTTTCCAACGCTATTAGCATCACGTATGCGTCTTTCATATTTAAAACGCATACATTGATCCTGAAACTCCATGAAACACTAATATAATGTAGAATATTGATCGTGTGAGATCTCCATTAAGCAAGCAAGATCCCGCGATAGCATTGTGAAGTGTTCAGTGCGTTCGCCGTTAGAAGTCCCTGACGTAACACAAATTTCCACGTGCATGTATCGGAATAAAAAGTGGCGCGAACGTGAAAGGACCCTTTTATGCGTCCCTTCCTAGATGCTCGTCGGGACGTACAATAGAGATTGATGCAAGCGGCAAGTCACGATCCTTCAAATTGTAAAACGAAAGCTGGATAAAAATAAAGGAAAAAGAGGAACGCACTCTCGAGACCGGTGTTGCGTAACCGGTCGCGATAGACGCGTCTACCTCCAGTTGTGGCACGTTCTGATTTCTCGGAAACGCCTTCTGTTCAACAATTTCGCGCCAATTTCTGGGGAACGAGGAAGCGTTGGAAATCGTTGCCCATGCTGCACCGTGCCAATGAATAATTGCGAATTTTTTTGCGTGCTTGTTAGAGTCGAGTCTCGTCGTGAAATTCGAAGCGTTCGGAAAAGGAAACGTAACGATACGTTGAAGAATCGATATCCTCTATTTATGTGTACGGGAAATTGGATCGGATCTATGGACAAACATATTGATCCGTTTTTTTAATTATACTCTTGCAAATACATATTTGTAATCTTGTGAGGATATAGCAAAATTATAGGAATCGATGATTGACAAATTTTTACACTTGTTATTTGTAAGTTTGCAATTTCTCAGCTTAAAAGTGGGTAGATTGATAGATTGATGGATTGATAGATTGATAGATAGATAGATTGGTTGATTGATTGGTTAATTGATTAATTGATTGATAGGTTGACTGATACACTGATACATCAATACATTGATACACTAATACATTGGTACACTGATACATTGATACACTGACAAACTGATAGATTGATAGACTGTATCTAAACGTTATAAATGTCTGCATTCTAATTTCTAAAATTCAGCATGGAAAAACCACCACTGATATTATATAAGATCGTGGGTAATATCGGAAGTATTAGTCACAGCCAATGATAGCTTTCTAATATCTATTCGCAAGTAACCTTCTGCGGTAACATGGAGACCTTTAAATTTCGCGTTGCGTACATTACCCAGTTCGCCTGCACGAATTTACCTGTAATATCCGCATGAATAAAGAACGTTTACGTCACAATTGACGGAAACACGGTGTCCGTGGTACGGAATCGACCCAGCCGAGTGTGTACGATCCGAACGTCATATCTGCATCGTTCCACTTTACGAGTGAATGTAATCCATACGCGGGCCGCGTTTGATCGAAGAAATCTCTGTGGTTCTTATACGAACTTCCTAGACCATTAAATGTGATTAGCCAGCTGCGCTATGTTAAATAACGGGATTTGCTGTACAACCACATCTGTTTCGGTTTTTAAAACTCGACCGGTCGCTACCACATAAACCAACCTAGTTATTATATCTTAACGACCCGTCAATTATCGAACAGCTACAAACTCCAGTTTCATCGCAGATTATAGATTACCTGTTCAAAAAGGGGCCTTTCCCTTTTCACGTTTCATTTCGTCCGAAATACGATGTTGCTCGACTACTTTGTCGTCTGAATTAAATTACGCTTTTTGCTCACGGTGGCCGAGACAAACCGTGGACAATTGATTGTTAACGATTTGGTCTACTAGACACCGATTATTTTTTCGTCGAAATACCGTTCATTGGACAAGGTCGCCAAACCACATCCTCGCAAAATAGTGAATGGTTAAATCTTGCAAGGAATTCGTCGAAAAACGCTCGAGTCGTGGTCGTCTATACGCTTCTGTGATTCTGCGCACACGTAATATTCCCGAGTGGTGTACTTTCGACGTAACCCACTTTCCTAGATTTTAAAATCCGTTCGTACGTCCACTTTCGTAGCCACTTTCGGTTTCTACCCGCTATCAGATCGACGCGCGCGTAGACGGGGAAGAAACGAGCGTTTCACGCGGAAACGATACGCTCGCCTCGCAAAATCGCTACTTTAATTTGCTCGTCGTTAGAAAGCTTTCGTTTAACCTCGTCGAGGCAAATAATATTCGAGGAAGACGCAACGCGGATGATTGAATAGTCGGGTATGACGAAAACGGAGATTGCTCGAAGAGAACGGCGCTTACGTACGCGTCGTAGATTTTCACGTAACACCGATGTCCATTCCGCTGCTGGCTATTAATTTTCACGCGGTACCATTTACCTTAACGACCGTACAAATCGTCCGCATCCTTTTCCCGCCGACACTTCGGTTGCGGTAAAACAGGTGTATCTCGCAACGCGGCGTTGTTAGGTGAAAGTCTCGATGCGATTCCTCGCGATCGCGTAACCGCGCCAACGCATGCTTCCCTTCCTCCCAAGGTTACGTAATCGTGTTGTTATGTATAAAAAATATCGCTTTATTCGTTCATTAGAAAACATATAATACAATACAAATCAGGATCACGGATCGAATACAATGGTTGGTACAATTCGACTGACGTCTACTACGAGCGGGCGGGCTTGCTCTTCGATCGTGATACTCGTCTGATCTCTTCATGATCTCCGCGTGATGACCGATCCGGTCGAATCGTGTTTGGTGGCTGATCGTCGAGCAAGCCGCGCCAAGGTCAAAGAACCTCTTTTAAGATCGAAGCCTCCGCTTCAATAGTGTCCTCCGTAACCACCGAAATCGTGTCCACCTAATTCTAGTCCACCCCCGAATCCACCACCGTATCCGCCACCGTATCCTCCGCCGTATCCTCCTCCATGTTCCTTCACGTAAATCGGTACAGCCTCCTTCACGACCAAGGGCACCTTAACGGGGTAGGGCACTGGTTTCGAAACAGTGTACGGCACCTTGACAGGTACCTTGACCGGGTAAGGCACCTTGACTGGCACCTTGACGGGTACCTTCACGGGATAAGGTACTTGCCTCTCGACCGTATAAGGTACGTGCTTCTCGACGGTCACTGGGTAAGGTTGAGGCACGTGGACAGGGTATGGCTTGTCCACCGGTACCTTAACGGGTACTTTGACAGGGTAGGGAACGTGTTTCTCCACCTCGACCGGATACGGTTCTGGCACGTGGACGGTCTTCGTGACCGTGACTGCCTTGATGTGCTCCGCGGAGATGTGCTCGCCGCCACCGTAACCGCCGCCCAGACCTCCTCCTAAGCCGCCACCGTAACCTCCACCCAGGCCGTAGCCTCCGAAGCCGTGGTCGCCCAGACTCAGCTCCAAACCGCGTTTCGTCTTCTCCTCCTTTGGCTCAGCCTTCGATTCTGCGGGTTTCTTCGTCTCCTCCGCGACGGCCGATACGACCAGAGCGCATAAGAGTAGGATCTAAACAGAGCAAATTTTGGATCGTTAATTCCCTCGAGTAAGCTCGAAGAAGTATGTCGTAATCAGGCTGCTTGCGTCTTTTCGAGCTTTTTCGAGATCTACGAAAGGGCGAAGCTGACTGATTGCGAAACGGTAACACGTTAGAATTCCCTGCGGTTAAGCCAGTTACGTTTGCGTGGCTCGAGTGACGGGGATTCGAGTGGCCGTGTTACAGGAGCTACTCACTTTCAGCTTCTCTGTGCTGTTCATGTTGGTCGACAGTGAGCACACTGATTCCTCGATGGTGTACCCCCGCTTTTATAGGGGACGCTCCGGCCAGGCTGGCGGGCAACTCGAGCGTGCCGATGAAATTGTTGCGGAGTAGGAAGTTGAGAGAAGGAAGGAAAGAGAACGACGCTCTCCTCCCAGTCCTGGCTTTTGTCAGCCAACATTTAGCAAGTCGCTTCGCGTTTCGTTCAATTTCTTCCTTAATACCGCTCGAGCTTTCAAAGCTCCTTCGGCTTCTCGAACGGGCAACGGAGATCCCTTTCAAGCGTTCTCTTCGTTCGTTTCTTAATTTCTTTCAGCGGGACGACGATTTTCGTAGTCTGGCCGTTCGGCTGGAAATTATTCGAAATTGGTCGAGTCCCGGGAGGATCGTGTTTCGATTTAAGTTGCATCCGTTACAGAATTACGCGGTGATCGGCTTCGAACTTTCTCGTTACTTACTTGCCTGTACTTACGTTCCTTCGAGTCGGCGAGTTTTCAATTACCGGATGAACCATCGAAGCGAACCGGAGCAACTAATACGGATTCGACTCCGGTGTCTCTTTTTAATCCGATTACTTCTCACAATACGTTCCTACATCTCTCCCGACTCACATCGTCGAGAGGTTCATTAATATTAAGAGCTTAATTAAAGCGAAAAGAGAACTATTAGAACTCCCCCGTTTCGAGCTACATCCTCTGTACCTTTGCACTTTCTTTCGTTCGAGGCTCGAAGGAACTTCTCTGGCTACGGTTGAACGTGTGCGAATTCGGGCTACATTCCTTCCGGAACTTTTTGATTTAAAATAGAACGTTCCTCGTTCCGTGTTTCTCATGTTAAATTCAGTTAGTATCCTTTAACGATTTTCTCGGAATAGCGGCCGCTTTCGAATGCAGCTACACGCGTGCGAGCATTCGAGATAGGGCAGAAATAAAACGACCCTTATCCTCGAAAGAGAAAAGTCAATGGCCGCCGATCGATAGATGGAGATATTTCGAGCGGACGCTATTCGCGACTCGTTCGCGATCTGCTCGAAGTTAGCGGGATCGCAGCGATTTTTGGTTATCACTTCGGCCTCCCTGGGGCGCCGTTAATCTTGGAATGACTTCGTGCCCCGCGCCCGCCCGTTCGGGGCATTAGAATACCCCGTGTATCCATGGTTTATCAGGCTTATCGGCGGGAATAAATTTCCATATATCTAAATTTGAATCTCCATATTTGAATCTGAAAATATTGATTTAACTCCTAGCCAGGTAAGCGGTACGCGTTCCGGCCGGCGAAACCGCGCCGTTCGATTGGGTTAGGTCCGATCGAACCGAATGAAAAGCGAGAGGAAGATGTTTGTCGATAGTTTCTATCTCACCTTCCGACCGGATTAAATTGTTTTCGATGAATTTATAGTGATTTGCCGTGGTCGCAATCTCCTCGGACTGCGGACCGATTTCCATACGGGAACGAAACTAGAGGAGATCGATAACTCGCGTTCGTTGCGGCGAAAGCGATCACCTCGAACGGTGCCCACTTAAATTTATGACCCGTTGACGTGCCGATATTTTAATAAGCGACGAAGCAGAAAAAAGAAACTTATTGACGGGCATAATGTGTTCGTTAATTAGACGAAATATGTACGCCGACGGGAATAGGCTCCTATGGGAAATATGGCCGGAGAAAGGAACTACTTGTTGATCTTTCGTCGGTAAATTTGCGGTTTAGACGTTTTCTAAGTTGCTAATTTAGAAACTACTCGGAACTTAGATATTTGAGGAATTTAGGTTTCGAAATTTTAATATTTGTTTTGGGTACGAGTTTGGTAGATGCAGATATTTAGGAAACTGAGAATGTAGGAATTTGGACATTTCAGGAAATTTGCAAATTTGGAGATGCAGAAATTGCAAATTTAAAGAAATAGAAGTTTACAAACTTTAGGATTTAGAAATTTGAGGATGTAGAAATTTGCAAATGTGAATATCTGGAAACTTATGAATTTAATAATACGGTACTCTAAAAGTTTGCAAAAGGCAATTATGAATTTCAGAATACTTAGAAACTTTGCTAAGCACATATTTAAAAATATAATACCTTAGTAAATTCATAAATTCGTAAAAGTTCGAAAAAATTTTTAATCTGCAAATGTAAAGAAAAATCCTACACCCTCGAATTTTATTTTGCCCTAAATGTGACCTAGTGCGGTATTGCGCAACCATAGCGACGAGAATCTAGTTGCTATTTTATTCGCTGAATTTGAAGGTAATGACACGCATCGTTGCCAGTAGGTGACCAATTTCGCTTGTGACCAATTGTAATTTCTCCGCTAACGTGTTTTGCCCCACCGTTCGTGTTTACCCTTTGATAATTAAATCGCGTGAAAGGCGTGTAAGGTCCGTGAAATACGTGATCTGCATGCTCCTCCAGTTTTTGCCGTATTAATGAACCAACGTTTCGATTGACGTCAACAAACACGGTTTCTCTCGATTCTGTTTCTTTGAGAGGCAAACGTTATTATTTTGAAACGTTTTGCACGGATCGGTGAATTTTGATCGGTGATATTGATTGCCAGGTCAATTTTGTCAGTCATTTTCTCGGTAATGTTCGAAAAGGTACGCATTGGGAAACGATTTTGGGTAAAGTCTGTTCCAGGTGAAATCTTTTATTTCACTCGGTTTCGACGCAATTACGTATACGGAACCTTTCCAAGTGTTCGAGGTCGTATTATGTGGCGGCATCTATTATGGACGATTTTTGTCCATAGACGCTCGTTTCTGTATTTTGCTTTTTCTTGCTTTCTAATAATCCGCCGCTATTCGTAACAGCGGTAATTACATAAAGAGTCCACACATCGTGGACTTCCGATCAGTGCAATGGTTCGCCGCAAAAAATATTTTTATCGAACGCGATCTTTCGTGTTCACGAAACACGCTTTCGCTACGATTTTGACAAAAATGGCTTACAAGCTAGTTTCAGAGAAACTGAAAATTCAAAGGGTGCTCGTATGAGTTATAATATGAATTTTTTTAGCAGGCAATTTTTAGAAGCTGTTAAATTCGGAAATGTTAAAATAAAGTAGAGGTTTCATATAGAAAATCTAAGAATATTTTTGTAAATTAAGGTAAAAATTAAAAAAGTATCTAAATTGGAAAATTGAAGATAATTACGTAAGTGAAGTGTTCGAAAATCTCCATAGGATTTAGACTTGAAATTTAAGAGCGTGTGAATTCCACAGTACATAGAAAACTCCCATAAAGTTCGGGAAAGTGAATCTTGCTCAACCGGCGAGTAAAATCGGCAGGTGTGCAGCGTTTCCGTTCCATCTGGAATTATTCCACGACGGTTATCCAAAGAATTACAGCGAACGTGATTTTCGGTACGAATCGAAGCCCGCGAGGTTTGCTCTCGGGGCAAACGCTTACGAAAATGCAGCCTAAAGAGAGTAGCGAGCAAATCCCTATGGTCGATGAGCTCACAGGCAGACGGTAGGAGCGGAATTTTCGCGAACTCTGCATTTCTGCTTCACCGACCGCAAACGTAACCTTATGCAATAATGGGAAAGGCTTTCGAGTCGGCCAGACCGAGACTCTCATGAATATATGGATGGATGTTCTCGCTGAAGGTGTTTATCAAGCCGTTTTCTAGTTACGCCCTTTCCATTCTCGCCCTTTTTGCAGTCTTCTCCCTTTCCCGTTCCTCGAACATAATTCCCGCTCTCCGTACGTGGCTTGCGAAGGACCGAAAACGAGTTCTCTTGTTTCCCTTTCACCGTCCACTTCGCTTTCTTATTATTCCGATTTCTCGCAAACGGTTCGTTTTCGTCGTTACCAATGCTAACATCTTGCCAATTTCATCCACACTTTTTCTCGGCTTTCCTAACGATGCTTCTCATGAATATTTTTGACTAATTTCAAAATACTATCAAACCCCATACTCACTCACCGTGTCAAAGACTTTTTGTCAGAGGGTCAAACTTTAAAAAATGGACCAAAACCCCCTTGAAAAATTGTCAAAAGTACCAGAAGGTCTTAGTACCTAGTATCTAATAAGGGTCTAGAGGGTGGAGAGTCCCCAAGAGCGAATTTTTAAATATTTTTCTCTTGGTCCTCCCTGTATTACCATAAATTAATAGATAAGCAAAGTACCTTTCACAAATGTGCCATGGTAATTTAAAAAAATTTCAGAGCATTCTGTTTCACGTTCTTGACTTATTTCGTTACGGAATAATCGTATCGGGATCTCACTTTTGGCGAGGATTCTCGTAACGAAACTGGTCTCCGTTTAAATCGAGACGCATTAATTTTGCAAACACGGTTAAAATATTGGCCAGCACGGTCCGAGTGAGAGTCACGCATAATACCGAAGCGTCTGTGGCATGATTATGAAACTGGTCCCGGTAAAAAGCGTCTGTATACCTGGGAAATAAACGCACGAGTCCCGGTAGCTTCGTTATTCATCGCCGATACAAATACAAAAATTCTGAACATTTTTCATTCGGATTTACCCTACCGGGAACTATAATATCCTCTCGTTGCATTAATTGGTCCCGTTCGTGTACATTTTTAATTAATTATTTACGCGTTCAAACACGAGCTGCTCAGTTATAATTCATCATCGTTTATCACGAGCAAGCAATCAACCGGACGCTCATAATGATTTAAAAAGTAATTCGTGCGTTTTCGGGTTCGATGATTCGGTAAATAAATGGCGTAATTATATTTCAGGCTTTTTCTTTTTATGATGACATGGAAATTTGCGCTTCTGCCGTAGTAAAAGTGTTTAAGTGATGACACGAGGTAGGTGTTAAAAATGAATTGCTGTTTTATTCAATTTTCACTTTTATTTAATCACATGAGTTTCAATTTTGTTCGTTTGGACTCTTTTGATACGATCGACTTACTGTCAAATGTTGTTAACTTGTTGAAATATGATGCGAAGAAAACATGTTACATAGAAAGTTTTCTATGTTTAAGTATGTTCAAATGTTTGCCATCATTTATGTTGCTTGACCATATCCTCTCACTTGCTAGTGACAGTAACACAACTCAACAAACTTCAAATTTGTTTTCATTGAAAACAATTTTTCTTATTATACCAAATGTTGTGATAATTAATAGTACCTATATTTATCATTTGTCAAAATGTAAATTTTAAACATTTCCACCAAAATATCTTTCTAATTGCCCCACTGTTAACACTAAATACAGTCTGACAAAATAACCAATATACGAAGTTTAAAATACTCAGAAAGTTTCTACCTGAGAGTTACCGAATCTCGCATAAAAATTAATTTAATCGGAAGGTGAAACCTGTTCAGTGACTTATTTTGTGGAATATTAAAATCTGCGGAAGACATCTGCGTTAGAAAACTTGGAGTTGGCGACAATGTTGTCGCTCACCGTGACGCCTAACAACTTCCTCCGAGTGGGCCTATCTTTTAATTAACCATCGAGCATGATGCCGGGAATCAGTCAATTAAGTACATAACGCGCGCGTGTCCGCGACAGGAGAAAGTTTGCTGGAAGTCGCGTCCCTTTGTGGCCACGGCATGTTTACGGTTTTGCTATATTTCATTACATTGTCGATGAAAAACGACGAAAAATCAACGTTCCGCGATTAATTACACGGAATACAGATATAGAGAGGCACGCCGAGTTCCATTCTCTTCCGAGCAATTTTCACCGACTGTTACGTTGCGTTATCCAAAAACTTTCCTTGTCGCGAAGCATTTTTTTTTTATTATCGCGTAATAAGCAAGTGGAACGTGCCCAGCTGCATTATGCGATCGTTACAACGTTGCCTCGGTGAAAGAAGGAAAGGTACCGGGGATGCGTAATCGGCGATCGATCGATTTTAGCTCGACGTACGGTCATTAATTTCATCTCTTTTACGATACGCATCGATTAAGCTTATTTCCTCGCGTTTGCGTTACATTTATCGAATCTCCTCGATCATGTAAGCCAGTGGCTATTAACCTTTCGAGGGCAAAATTTCCGGAACGAAAAAATTGTAGAAAGTGGAACTCAGCTTTTGGAATTTTAGGACGGTGCGATTTGAAGAATTTTGCACCTTTCAGATTTTTCTGCAACTTCGAGACTCTGGAATTATTAAGCTTTTAGGTTATGTAGGATTACACTTGCAGATGAGGTTATGTAGGATTGCACTTGTTGAAAATGCAATTCTTTCCAGTTCTGTTAAAAAATATCTGTGCTTAAAATTAAAAATATCTGTGCTCTAACATTTCTAAATTTTATTGCAAAACTTCTAACAACCAAGAACGCTAGTGTAAGCACCAGTGTACCGGATGAGAACCGCCGCCGTTTAAGCCCCATGCGATTCCTCAAACGCTCCAGAACCTCATTAAATCGATCATACGGAACCAGCTCATCAAAGCATCGAACGAATCAATCTATTTCAAGAAATTTCCTCGATTGAATCAGTAGAAACCGTGTGCGATGACGCAACGCGTGCTCCGGTAACATCGGTACCTCGGAAAGCTGACAATGAAAAGCAAAATCGTGCAAGAACATCCACTTCCTTTTGCGCCAGTCACGAACGCAAAGTTCTTCCTTTCGGAGAGGCCCGAAAAACATAACGGCGATATCCCGCGAGCACATTGCGTAAGACGTCGGGTGTCTTGGTGCGGAATTACGTCCGGAATCGGTTTTACGAGGCACGAATCGAAGCCGTGGCGGATCATGGCTTCCGAGGTGAAAGAAAAAGAAACATCGAAGAAGAAGAGTGGTCACCGGTATATCGTTGCACGGTAAATTGGCAGGCTCCTCCTCGTCGGGTGAACGGACAAGAGAACGGTGATTCGATACAGTTTGAATACGGGCAGGGGTATGTTACGCGTGCGGGCAGATCCGGGGAGATCCGGTAGTAATCAACCGGGCGCTCGGTAGCCCGTGGGAAAACGGCTTAACGCCGAACGAACGCCTTTGCACGCCGTGCTAGCACAATCGGTCCGCTTTAATGCTGGTGGACGAGTAGGATTTTCCGGGGAGTGGGCCAGTAGCCACGGCGAAAGTGCCGGTATATATGCCAGTGATTGGCGCGGTGTAGCTTCAGTGTGCACCTCCGACCGATACCATGAGCACTCCACAGGTGAGCTCCCGGTCCTCGCACTTCACACACGACACTCTCGTTCGCGGACCAAGGGACACAACTTACGTAATCCGTCGGAGAAAGTTCCCCTAACGATAGATTACGTTGTCGCGAATCTTACTTTTTATGGGCTATTGTGTCGAAACCTCTCGTTTCTCATTGTTCCTTTACTCGTAAACCGATACTATCGCAACAGGATTTTTCGCCGTAATACACGCACCTTTCACCGTCTACTTTCTCCCGTTATCACACGTTATCGATAGTCATAGATTCGCGCCTGTACAATTAACTCAAACACGTTTTCTACCCGCAGAAGCTTATAATTCTCGCCCTGGTGGCGACTAGTCTGGCCGGCGAGGTTAAGGAGACCAAAAAGGCCACCACGGAGACGAAAGACAAGAGCAAGAGAGGACTCGAACTGAGTTTGGGCAGCTTCGAGAGCTACGGAGGAGGACACGGGCTGAGCTTAGGAGGAGGAGGTGGCTTTGGAGGACACGGACTGAGCTTGGGAGGAGGTTATGGCGGAGGTCTAGGTGGAGGTCTCGGCGGAGGTCTCGGTGGAGGCGGTGGCGGTGGCGGCGATAACAGTCGAATCACTGGAATCACCATCCACCGCGAGAACCAAGTACGCGTACCTCAACCGTACCCGGTCGAGAAAAACATCCCCGTACCAGTCCCGGTCCCAGTTCACGTCCCGGTTGAACGTCCAGTTCCGGTCCACGTACCGAAACCATACCCAGTCCCCGTACAGAAGAACATCCTTGTGCCAGTGGAGAAACAGGTCCCGGTTCCGTACAACGTACCCGTCAAAGTGCCCGTCGAGGTACCCTACCCGGTCAGCGTACCTGTAAAGGTCCCCGTCGCTATTGAGAAGGAGGTGCCCTATCCAGTCAAGGTTCCTGTACTCGTTAAGGAATCCTATCCTGTACTGGTCAGCAGTGGTCACGGTGGTGGCGGCGGCGGCTTCGGTGGCGGATACGGAGGTGGCTACGGTGGCGGATACGGAGGTGGCTTCGAACTTGGAGGTGGTCACGGACTCAGCCTGCACCATTAGATAAGGATGAACCTCGTCGACATGGATCTTCATCCACACTCATATGCTTGTATATAATGATTATATTTTTGTATGGAAAATAAACTTTTAAATTATTAAATGATCATTGTACGCTCGCGTTCTTGTGACGTAGTAAATAAGACTATATTTCTGAAATCGTTGTACGTGTTTAACCTCTGCCTACTTCTGACCATCATCCTGCAATCGCGATCCAAATGGGACGAGTACCAGTCGTTTTGTCCAATTAGGTGAAACATCTAGGAAGAAAACCTGTCCAATTATTCGTACTCGTTCAACTGCTAGACCCCGAGAGACATCGTGTAAACCCGATAGCTCGATTTTAAGCACAGATATTATTAGACGCTTTTCTCTTTGAATACTTGTGTAATTGAATGCTGGAGTTGTTTGTGATTCATCGGTGTGCTTGTAGTATGAAAATGAAACGGAGGATGGGAATTAAATTATCATTCCGATCTTCGAAACACCTCTGTCTAAGTTGTTTATGTTTGCGAGGCTCGTTACTCCGTAATAAAGGATTCGAATTTCTCTTGAATGTTTCCACTTGATCCCTTGTATTTCCTAGTAATAAACGTGTTCCGCGAACAAGGTAATTAGTCGTTGAACGTTTCTACGAGTTCCGTTGCACTCTGAGTCTTGAATAGTTATAACCGCAGGCGCAATAACTTCGTTGCTAATTCGACGCATTTGACGATCGAGTATTTAACGTACGCTATCGAATTATCGATCGTGAAATTTCAGTTATGAATGTAACAGATCCGATATTCGGGAAACATTTATTTCAGCAAATCATCACGTTCTATTAAATGCGTATTTACATCTGACCAAGCCGAGTGCTGAGATTAACAATTATCGTATCTGCAAATTTAAGCCGTATTGCGAGATAATGCGCATTAACAGGAAATGTATTTTATCACGTGGAACGAGTGCTACGTACGATCTGATAATTGTTACATAATCGATAGTCCGGTAATCAAGATCGTGCAGAATCCTGTAATTTAACGTGCGCGGATGCAACGTTGAGAGCGTTTACGCTATCCCTAGGGAAAATTGACCAGGAGGGCAGGTGTAGGGAATTGCAAACTTTCTCAAACAAAAATTGTTAGTATTGGTAATAGAGGAATTTTCGAATAGAACCTTTCAAATTTATAAATTAATAATTGAATATTAAAATTTCTAAATTTTCAAGTTCTCAACATTTTTATGTACTTGAACTCTCACGTTCTTGAACTTCTAAATCCTCCCACATTTCTAAACTTCTACATTCCTAAGTTTGAAAATTTCCTGCTTTGTAGTAACCTATGATTTATGTATCGACACGGTCGATCAGAGATAATCGCTAAAATAGATAGTAGAGGAAGTTGAAACGATCCTTGACCGATAGTGAATAGAATTCAATATAGTCGTAATGAAAGTACGAGTTATGTCACATATGAACGGGTGCGTCGCGAATGTGTGACGCTATTAGGTAAGGATTAATTGCCAACAGTTATTTGCACTTTCTAGCGACTGCAACTGACTCAGTTTAAGAGCGTTCAATTTAAAGTCAGAATTAGGCAAGTTTACCCTACGGTTCGTTGGTCGCGATTTCTCGATACACAGACCCTATCTTACGTGAGCAGAGAAACCGTCGAGGGGTCAAGTCGTGACCCAGGTGTTCCGGAAGCAAGGTAAAGGTCAGTCGATTTTTCTTCCGCCAGTTCACCAGAAACCTTCATTCGAACGTTCATACGATTCGCGTGCACCTCGTCATCGATTCCTCGCCGCTCGCTTCTCGGAAACGTTTTTCTCAGTTTCGTCATTCCAGAAATTGCACGCATCGACGCAAAAACGTCGTTACCGATCTGTAATTTGCCTTGTCCGCATGGAACGTTTCGCAAAGTGAAAGTCCCACTTATATCGATCGATCTGTCGTGCAAACGTTTCTTCAAATCGAACTGCACTGACGTGCCATTAAGATTGCAACTTTCATCATTTTTACCCTCACCCTCGAGAGTGTTACGTGTGCCTCTTAACGATCTAACGTTCATTTGTTCAATTATTGTTGATGTTCTGCTTTTGTACACATAAATCACAAAGGATATTGATACATACGAGGCTAAAAAATGACGAATAAAAATGGAGTCATTATCCTAGGGAGCATCTTGCTGTCGTAAAAGAAATATCTCTACGTAACATTTATCAAAAGTTGCATAATTTTGTGTACATGTAATCATGGGATAATATTAATTTAATGAGTAGCGAAAAACAATGACATTCTTTATTATGAAATATATGTAACTCACTGGAAAAAACTTATTGCTATAGAATCTGAAGTAGTCATGAAATTAGAACACGTTCAAGAATCCTTCTTTGCTAACACATGAAGATATTTCTATAAAATTTTATACATCGAATAATCCCTGAAAGTTAGTAAGTAAATTTTAAGTGTAACATAGAAAAGAAGTAATTAAGAAAAATTATATCTTGTACAACATCCCCTTTATTATTCATAAAAATCTCTTGTATCATCCATTTTTTACAAGGAATTTTTAAATATTTGCCTCGTGATCGACAACCACAGTGCTCTAAACGAAAAAATTAGAAAAATAATCAGCTTAATAATTGTCCATCACAATTTACTAATTGTACCCATTGCTTTGATGTTCTCTTAAATCGCAACGGAGGGTTTACAATCTAGTTACCTCGTTTTTAATTAAGATTCCAGAGCGTAATTCGTGTCTGAGCAAAAATCCTACAATATCGAGTGGCCGTAAGATAAAACGAAAATAAAACAAGAACGAAGAGTTATAAAAAAAATATTGCGTCTCTAGCAATTAAAGCCCCGCGTAATTTAAATGTTCACAACGGCGCAACGAAGATATCATCGTTATTTCATTTTTAAACGAAAATCCCACGATTAGATCGAGCGGAGGATAAAGTAATCTCGTTCCGCTGTGTAGACACGTTAGGAGCAGCCATTATAACAAAATGTCATTCTCCTAGGAAGATTAAAAGGGTTTCGGGTTCCATGGGATTAGACGAAACGGGAGGAAGCAGCGTAGTCGGACTCGAAATGCATCTGGCCTAGGAATCTTGTACAGTTTTGCCAAAGTCAGATTACGGCATCCATTTCCACGTTTATTTCTCTCGCTATGGCGCGGAAAATTGACGACGAGTTGCACAAAGTCCCAGAACAAGAGACCCGAGCACTTACGATCTTTCTCTCGACCCCTTGAAACAATAGCAATTATGTTTATTGTGCACCAAACCTGCTAAGGTTAATGAACCGATTATTGGATACACGGGAATGTGACTGTTTGAATGCATTAATCTTTTATTAATGTACATTTATTATTTATAGTTGCGTGAGAGATTTGTCAGCGAAAATTTGGGGTATAGAAATTTTGGGATATAAGGAATTCGGGGTGTAGAAAATTCGGGACGTAGGGAATTCGGGACGTGAGGAATTCGGGACGTGGGGAATTCGGGGTGTAGGAAATTCGAGTCATAGGGAATTCGGGACGTGTGGAATTCGGGGCGTGGGGAATTTGGGACGTGTGGAATTCGGGGCGTGGGGAATTCGGGACGTGTGGAATTCGGAACGTGTGGAATTCGAGGCGTGGGGAATTCGAGACGTGTGGAATTCGGGACGTGTGGAATTCGGAACGTGTGGAATTCGGGGCGTGGGGAATTCGAGACGTGTGGAATTCGGGGCGTGGGGAATTCGGAACGTGTGGAATTCGGGGCGTGGGGAATTCGGGACGTGAGGAATTCGGGACGTGAGGAATTCGGGACGTGGGGAATTCGGAACGTGTGGAATTCGGGACGTGGGGAATTCGGGACGTGTGGAATTCGGGGCGTGGGGAATTCGGAACGTAAGGAATTCGGGGTGTAGAAAATTTGATGCGTACGGAATTTGGGACGTGGGAAATTCGGGATATGGGTTATACGGAACATAGGGAATTCGGGGTGTAGAAAATTCGATATCTAGGAAATTTGAGACGTAGCAAATTCCTGATAAAGGTTATTCAAGTCATACAAAATTTTAGACACATATGTACACATAAGTGATCACATATGAACTCCGGTACATATTTCAGACCACTGAAATTTCCAAACTATAAACCTTAAGAACCTCAGAATTTCTCATAAAAATAAACTTCACAATTCCAACCTAAAAAAATGGTTGAATTTAGCAAAATAATTGCAATCGAAATAATGTGAGGTTATGTATCCTCCCATAAGTTTGAGAATCCCTGCCAGTACAACACACATTTCGTTTCTGTTATTGCAGAGGGATTTAATTACCCACATTTATTTCCAAGTTACGAAAATCATGATCATATCAGGATTTCGCTCATTGTTTCGTCCGATTTCCATTTTATTCGTAGCTGATTTAGTACAACTCCGCGCCGCGATTCTTTTCAACCATTTCCGCGTTTCACTCGGTGCCTTACGTGCTCGTAAATCAAGGGCAGAATCCTTGAAAACTTCATCGCTTTTTGTATCGTTTCTTCCCGTTCAAACGTGAGCTATGTTTTGTTACGATTATATTTATCTAAGTCAGCGAACAATGCGGTAACTCGATGTATCTACCTTTCTCCGTAGAAAAAGTGCTTCGAATCGAGTCTCTATTGCTTAACGAAACCATTACGAGAGGTATACCAAAAATTACATGTCGGATAAATTTGACCAATCATTCGATTACGCGGAACTGTAATCATAAAATAGTCTGTCTTTACCAGTGCAATAAAACTAAAATTATCGTGATTGTAGAGTAGCAATCACTTTTTTCGTAGTTGAACAAATTATACCCATCCATCAAAAATTGGGGATCATCGATAGAAAAATTATATCGCAAATAGAAAATGAGTCAGAAGTTTGTATTTTTTAAGACTCGATTCTTATGATGTGTAATGTCTTCATTTTGGATGTAATAGACTCTTGATGATATGTCTTGCACTGGAGATAATTATGTGGCAGATGTAACTACATGGAATATGGAAGATTTATGGAAGATGTTATATGTTAGAGTATATGGAAGCTATTAGTAGACATAAAGATACAATTACATAGAAGATGTGGAAGACATAGAGTATA